TTGCTGAAAAATGATTCACTGATTATTATAGAAAGGTGTCAGAATACACAGTCCATTGCAGTTTGCTGTGTTTGGGGCTGCACAGTTGCAGACCCATGCTGACCTCTGTCCACCGAGGGCACTAACAATGTTCACATGAGCATCAGAACTGTACCCCTAACTAATGGAAGAAGGTAGCCTGGTGTGATTAATCATGTTTCCTTTTACATTGCATGGATGGCCGGGTGCGTGTGTTGCTTACCTGGGGAACACCTGACAGCAGAAGAAGACAAGCCAGCAGTGGCAGTGTGGTACTCTGGGCAATGTTTGGGGAGACCTTGGGTCCTGCTAAGCATTGTTGCCGACTGTGCACACCATTTCATTGGACTGGGACCTAGACAATAATAGGCAGGTGATCATAATGGTATGCCTGATCACTGTATATTTTAAGATAAAGACCCAGCAGTAATAGAGTGAAACCTAATGCCAAGTATGTATCTGTTTAAAAACCACATTTCTAAGACTTGTAGGGATTTTTAGGAAGGCTTATGAACTAGATAAGTATGGAGACAGAACAGGGAGAGACCAGAGAGACATGGGGACACAAATCACTTCCACAGGAGACACCGGTGATGAGACAAAGACAAGAATGGGACAGACTGGGCACGAAAGAGAATCAAGAACTTAAAATATAAATGAAAAAACTACATAGCTTTAATGTAAGTATTTCTTAAATTACCCAGGACCAAAACACCGAGTAGCTCCATAATTAACCTGAGTGTGTGAAGACATCCCATTTACATGTACAAAATGTAAACTATTCAATAGATTTGCTTCAAACCACAGCATGTTATAATATCTGTACTAAAATCTTGTGGTCAGTGGTGATGAATGGTGCATTGAGGCAGCACAAGCACAGAGGTGAGTCCACTGTCAGCATAAGAAGACGAGTCCTCTTCAGTACCACTGTTTCTGCACCCTGATCATAAACCACACCATCATTCTTCAGTAGACTCATATACATGTTTTGAGCTGCAACACTGAACTGAAGCCAGTTTTGCCCGTTTTGTGTTTGCTTCTTTTGTCTCGATCCCCAGGACCCAGCACTACCTGCCAAGAGGATTCCTGTGCCAACATGGGCATCTGCATTCAACAATGGGAGAACTACACCTGCGACTGCTCCATGACCTCATACACCGGCACACAATGCAATGACCGTGAGTAATATCTAATGTCACATTCATGCAATATCACTTTTTTGTGACCAGAGAGTGACAAATGTGAGATTCAAGAAAAAAATGCATATTACAGTTTTTTCTGATGGCTTGAGCACATTTTTTGTAACTATTGGCTATTTTTGCAAAACTCTACTCACAAATAAGGAAACTCTTCACCTAATCAGCAAAACATTGTAGTTTTCTTGTAAAAGCGAATAACCCTGCTTAACTCTCCACACCTTTGTAAAAATGGTATTTTTGTATCCAACAGTTAACACAAGCCATCA